TAATTTGCATCTCTCTGATAGCTAGTGATATTGAGCATCTTTTCATGTGTCTTTGGATTTTCTGTATGTCCTCCTTGGAGAAGTGTCTGTTCAAGTCCTTTGTCCATTTTTTAATTGGGTTCCTTGTCTTCTTAGAGTGTAGTCGTGTAAGTTCTTTATATATTTTGGAGATTAAATCCTTGTCTGAGGTTTCATTGGCAAATATGTTTTCCCATACAGTTGGTTCTCTTTTTATTTTGATACTGTTTTCTTTAGCCATGCAGAAGCTTTTTATTTTGATGAGGCCCCATTTGTTTATTCTTTCCTTTATGTCCCTTGCTCTAGGGGACAAGTCAGTAAAAAAGTTTCTTCGTGAAATATCTGAGATTTTCCTACCTATGTTCTCCTCTAGGACTTTAATGGTGTCACGTTTTATATTTAAGTCTTTTTTCCACCTTGAATTTATTTTTGTATAAGGTGTAAGTTGGTGCTCGAGTTTCATTTTTTTGCACATAGCTATCCAGTTCTCCCAACACCATTTGTTGAAGAGACTGTTTTTACTCCATTTTATGTTGCTGCCTCCTTTGTCAAATATTAATTGACCATAGAGACTTGGGTTTATTTCTGGGCTCTCTGTTCTGTTCCACTGGTCCATGTGCCTGTTTTTATGCCAGTACCAGGCTGTTTTGATTACAGTGGCCTTGTAGTATAGTTCAGTGTCAGGTATTGTGATCCCTCTTACTTTACTCTCTTTCTCAAAATTGCAGCAGCTATTTGGGGAGATGTTCAAGGGAATTTAAAAAGGCCCAAAGATGTCCAAGTTTTCTAAAAGATTATACTGAGTTGGTGTCTGTTGTCATTGCTAAAGCCTCAGTTTGATCCTGGTTATGTATATGCTTTGATAATTCTTCTAGTTGAGTAATGATGAATTTCTCTGACTCCTAGGATCTTTCATAAATGGTCATCAGTTTACAAATGATGACACATGCAATACTAGAAACAATCATGAAAGGCTTGCCATAAGAAAAGGTTCTGGGCATACCAGCATCATGGACAGCAAAATAACAGCACCTTCAAATAAGACCAGTGGGTATAGATATTGTTAAAGTGGAACATACTGATGAACACTGGAGAAGTACTCCTGGAGCCCCCTGCTTTACATCAAGGTAATCTACTTCCAACAGGAATCTTACCCATGTAGTGATTACCCCTGTGGTTTTATCCACGATAGCAATGCTGTTACTCAGAGACTCCAAAGAGACAGACCCATAAGGGCTTGGAAGATGCTTCCAACAGCTGGTCATCAGGCTGAGCAGGGGCTTTGGTGTCAGATAAATAAGTGTTCTCATCTTGGTTTATTATGTGTGAGACATTGGGCAAGTTTCAGTTTCCCCATTTACAAAATGGAAATAAAAATACCTATCTCAAAGAATGTTATAAGGAGTAAAAGAGATACTCTTAGTAAAGTGCACTACCACCAAATGGTTATAATAAAACAAATGCTACTATTATCATCCTGTAATTCATAGGATGTAAGGACTTAAATGTGTGGAAAGTGTGTCATGACTAAGGCCCATGGAAGAAAGCATCTCATTTCACCAATATCTATGTCTTTGACAAATAACAGAGACCACCAAAGAAGTTATATACAGTGCAGTAACAAGTGATCTTTGAGTCAGAAGACATTTTTGTTGATCTTTCATTAAGCCTCTAACAGGACAATAGGCACTATGCAGCTCTTGTGTGGGGATGCAATGAGCACTGTACTTAGGGGCCCTGTCTTTGTGGAGCTTAAGTTCTGATCAGGAAGGTAGATATTAAGTAAATGATTCCACAGTTATTTTAATTACCACTGAGATAAGTGCTTTGAATGATGAATACAATGTGTTATGAGAGTGACCAGGAGGGTGAGGTGTGGGGTCTAGGTTAGTCTGAGGAATTTCAGGGAAGGCTTCCCTGAGGAGGTGACACTTAAGCTGTTAACGAGGTAAAAATGAACATGGGGTGGGGAGGCCAAGGGGGACACCTCCAGGCAAAGAGAGCTGGGTATACTTGGTCCCAGAGTTTAAAGTATTTGAGCAAGTTAAAAGAATGCAATCTGGCCAGCATTGCTGGCGCATTGTGAGAGAGAAGGGGACCCGAGACCTGGGTTTGAGACCCAGTTCTACTTATTGATTGTGTGGCCTTGGGCAATTAATTTAAACTTCCTATGCTGCAGTTTTGTTGTTTTTTATCATGGAGATACTACCACACAGAAATAGTTGAAAGCATTAAGAGACATATGTTAGATTTTTGTAAAGGATGCACCAATAAGGTCTTATGCTTCTGTGCTGATCTAAGTGTAATAAATACCAAAAACATCTGAAGGTGTATGTTAGTCATGTTAGCTCTTTGAATTTCAGGGTGATGACTCAGAAAGACAGGGAAAGAAGGTTAAAACTCTGGAGAAACTTGCTGACTCTAGCTGCTGAAGCAGAGCTTGTTTCCCATCTGCTCTAGACTTTCCTGCTGCTGCATGAGAATGGGCATTGAGTCCCTGGGCCAGGGCAGGGACCATCTCACCCACTGTAATAGAGGCATGGTTTCCATGTAGGGCCGCAGAGGCAATTCTGCTAACATTTTGATGTATTTTCTTCCAGCTTTTTAACATATATATGCCACAGTTGTATGAATTTTGAATCCTTTTCCCCCTCAAATTCTCATTTTTTCAATGTTAGTATCATTGGAAGATACTCTTTTAAACATGTTTTCATAACTATTCCTTTGAATGGATATATTCCAACTTACTGAGTCAGGTACCTGTGATTTGGACCTTAGGATTGTTTCCTTGTCTGGTTTAGCACTAACAATGTGGTAATGAATATCACCAACATAATTTTCAATTTCCTAGAATCATAGATTTCTCTTTTCCAGGGGGGATTCCATCCTTCCATACCCTCATTTTACACAGGACTTCAAGGAAGCCAGAGACAAGTTGCCAGAATGAAAGACCTTGGGGGTTTGTTTGTAGGTTGCCTGGAAAGCACCCACTCAGATACTCTCCAGCCCTTCTGTGTCTGGGAAGGATGTCCTCTGAGTACTCAGCTATGCCAGGACCATATAGGAGCACAGAGGGAGGGTGTTCCACTGGCCAAGCAGCTGAACTAGCCTGTAGATGGGGCACAGAGACAGGAAACATCTTTCCAAAGCAGTCTAAGGAACTTATCCATACGGCATTTTCTTGGTGTCAATGATTCTGTTTTAGTTGAAGCCCACTTATTTTGATTCTGCCCTGCTAGGAGGACAGGCCACTTAGAGGAGAGGTGGCTGTCATTTTGAATGGTTAGAAATCCTGCCCCATTCTACTCCTTTTCTGCCCATTTTTCTAGTTGGGTGGTTCTCAACCAGTCCCTTGGGAGCATTTTGAAAATACGTGGGCTTTTTTTTTTCTGTAATTACGATGATGGAGGAAGGCACAATTGGCATTCATGGGTAGTGCAGGGGTATAAGATAGTCTTCAAACTAGTCTGCATAATGAAGAATTGTCCCTCAACTAGATTCTCAAATGTCCCCTAGGACATTTCTTGTAGGTGAAACCTGTGCTTAATTATCTGAGCCTAAAATTTAATAGTTACAAAACACTTTAATATACAATTAACTTTCTGGGAATGCAATTACAGTTTTGTGTAAACTTAGGGAAGACTGACTTTGCTAAGAGAGCTGTCCAACATTTTAAGTTACTTCACTGACGACAACATGCTGGAAGTAGTCTCACTTGTAGTAGCCGGTGTGCAGCAGCTCCATCTCTGTGGCTCTATGGATAAGTGCCAGTGGCTGTGTGCTTATCCCAGCTTCTAGTTTAGTCAGGCCTCAACACTCACACATATTGTGCATGCTATTTTACTACAAATTACTTTTCATTAGACAGGGAAGGATGTTGGTTCTTTTAAAGGTTTATGTATGTAGGTAGGCTATAGTATCTGTGAATTTCAAGTCAGCATAATAAAGGAGTCATTACAAAATATTTGTTATAAAAACGGCTGAAGATTGAGAACCTCAATCCTAATCAGTATTTGGCTTTTCCCTATCTCTTTCCCAGGATCAGCCAGAAAGAAGTGGAGTTTCCCCCGCAAAAAGCCTTGTCTCCTCTCGCCCAAATTCACTCACATGAACAGCCACACAAGCAGGCAGACACACACACACACACACACACACACACACACAGACACTGACACACCTTCCACCACTAGACCCTAGCCAAGAGCCTCTAGAACTGTCAAAAGGTCCGCACTTCCCCTCTTCTGTCTCAAGAGCTTCCAGTTCTTCCTCAGTGAATAAATATTGATTGTCAGGCCCTGTTGGACTGCAGAAGGTAATGCAGGTTCCTGTCCACTTCTTGGAGGCCCTTTTGTCTGTGCCCCCCGCCCCCGCCCCGCTTTTTAACCTCCTACTATCTCAATTTCTCCCTTTGGTATTCTCCTCCCCAACTTTTGCTTCCAGTCCTCTCTCCGCATTCCTTTCCCAGAGCAGGCTAGTAGAAACGCTGCTGAACCCGTGAAACCACTCTGGTCTCCTGGCTCTTTTCGTCTCCACCCAACTTCTGTTGCGCTTAGAAGGCTCGGGGACTTCACCCCCTCCTTTTCCTGCTCTCCTCTCCGCTGTCTGACCCTGGCTTCTTCCTCTCCCACCTGTCTTCTCCTCCAAGCCTCTGCTTCTCTCCTCTCACCCAGATCCAGAGCGGCCTTCTCTTTGTGCAACCGTCTTCCTCCACCTGCATCCTAGATTCCCTGTCTCAACGCCAGCTCCTGCGCCTCGGGCACGGCTTTCCGCGCCTCTACCGCGTCGTCCAGCGGCCTCCGCCGCGGGTCGCAGCGGAGAGCGCACCTGCACCCGCGTTCTCCCTGCGCTAACCACCGCCCCTGGCGCAGCCGGCGGTCCAGGGCGGGGCCGGGGGCTGGGGCGGCTCCCCGGGCTTGGGATGTGGGAGGGGCCCTCCCTCCCCGCCGGGCTCCCCTCCCCCGCCCTCCCTCCCCGCCGTTTCCCCGCTCTTCCCCCCGCCCGGTCTTCTACCGCACCCTCCTGGTCCCTCCGCCCCGGAGCTTTCCGGGTCCCCGGCGCCGCCTCCTTCGCTCCCGGCTCCCGCGGCCTCCGCCGCCGCCCCGGGGACGGATAGACGGGGGTGCGGTCGGCGACAGCCGGAGAGGAGGCCGAGACCTTGGCTGGGCCGGAGCCCGAATTCTAGTAGGAGGGTCGGGCGGAGGGAATAGGTGGAGGCGAGAGGAGGGAGAGCGGGGCGCAGCGGCCGGGCCTGGAGCCTTGAGGCCGTGGACAGGCGGGGAGAGCTGGGCCGGAGCGCCGAGGTAGGGGAGCCGGGGCCCCGGAGCAGGGCTGGGGGGGACGCGGGGAGGGCCGAGCCGGGAGCCCGAGGCTGGGGGAGAGCAGGGGCGGCGGGGAGGCAGCCGGGGAGCTGGGTGAGCCGGGCCGTGGAGCCGCGGGGCACGGGGGGCGGGGGGGGGGGAAGAGGTGGAGTCCCGGGAGGGTGGGGGGCCGAGGGAGCCTGGAGGAGGGTGTGGACACGGTTTCTCTCCTCCTCTCCCCTCGCCCGCCGGGGCTCCGCCCCCGCCTCCCTCGCGGGGCTCTCTTCTCGAACCCAGGCTGAGTGGAGTCGGAGCCCAGGAGCTACGGCAGAGAGGCCGGGCCACCTCCGGGTCCGGGTGGTGCCGGCGGGGCTCGATGCGGTCCTCACGGCCGCCTCTCAGTCAGATGCTGCTGCTGCTGCTGCTGGCGCCACTCTTCCTCAGCGCCCCGGGCGCGGGCGGGGCGCAGACCCCCAACGCCACCTCTGAAGGTGCTTCCTTCTCCCGCGACTTCTGGCATCCCTCCATCTTTCCTGGTCCTCGTTCCTGTCCCGTCAGTCAGGCAACCACGTCTGCTTAGCCCGCTGGACTACCCCTGACAGCTTTTCTATCAGCGCACATCAGTACTAGGCTACCTCTCTGTGACCCTGCGTTATTTTCTCAACTACACCCCTTTTTCTGGCCCCCCATCACTACCCCAGTTCTGCCCTTTTCTTAGTTCCACATTTCTCCCAGGTGGCCTTGTAAGACCCCCGTCTCATCTCATCCTAATTCAACTCAAACGTCCTCTTTGAGCCTTTCTCACACCCCCTACGGTTTCTCAGTTACTTTTCTCCTTACCTCTAATCAGCACCCTTTCTTCCCAACTTGTGGGCTTTCATTAGACTTATCCCTGACTCGTTACTGTCTACCCAGAGTTCTCCGAGCAGAACATTAGCTCTGAGCAGAGTTTTGTTCCATACCCATCTCCTCTCCGACTCTCTAAACATCCCATCCCATCCCATCCCATCCCCTTTGTCCTCCATCTGTCCATTGACCACACCCTAGGGTCTCCTGCATTTTCGCCCAGTGACTCTACCTTTTCCCTTTCCCCACCATTCCTTTCTTTACTCCTTCTTGACCCACCTCTCAGGTTGCCAGATCATACACCCGCCCTGGGAAGGGGGCATCAGGTACAGGGGCCTGACTCGTGACCAGGTGAAGGCTATCAACTTCCTGCCTGTGGACTATGAGATTGAGTATGTGTGCCGGGGAGAGCGCGAGGTGGTGGGGCCCAAGGTCCGAAAGTGCCTGGCAAATGGCTCCTGGACAGATATGGACACACCCAGCCGCTGTGGTGAGTAGCTTCCCAAAGTCCCTCCCTTCTTCAAGACCATTCCTATTCCTGCCTCAAACTTAACATTATTGTTTGCAAGTCAGCACTTCAAATCCAGTGTAATTAAACTCACAAATACATCTACTTAAGAGGGACTTTATTGTGTGCAGTGTGAGCCAGTAGAGTTAGCAGCCTGGACATTTAATTGCATCCTTCCTTCATTAGGCCATTGACCATTTATAAAATAACCTGATTATTCATCTTGTGAGTTATTTTCTTTGAGTATTATTCGTGGCAGTTTATGCAGAAACATTCTAAGATGATTTCATCACATTTCCGAATATCTTTGTCTCCAATGCAGAGACTGCATACCTAAGAAACAGAATCCAGTTTAATACAAGCCAACTAGAATAAGAAATGCAAATCTGACTGTGCATCTAAATTCACCCCCCCCACCGCCCCCCAAAGCCAGAGAACCACCCACTGAAGAGGTCCCATTTTATGTGCTTATAGCTCCATCTTGGGTCCCTACATGGCAATGTTTTTTCTTTTTTTTTCCTGTGAGAAATGTGGATACTTCCAGGGCTAAGGGAGGACTGGAGACTGAGTGGCTAATCCTTTTTACACTGGACTTCCTGCACTGTAGGATGCTTATGGATCTGAACCCAAAGCTGAGCCTCCTGCTCTCTAAGGGGACAGAGCCTTCTCCAACCTGTCTGTCTCTCTCTTTTCCTGTCTCTCCACAGTCCGAATCTGCTCCAAGTCTTATTTGATGCTGGAAAATGGGAAGGTGTTCCTGACGGGTGGGGATCTCCCAGCCCTGGACGGAGCCCGGGTGGATTTTCGGTGTGACCCTGACTTCCATCTGGTGGGCGGCTCCCGGAGTGTCTGTAGTCAGGGCCAGTGGAGCAGCCCCAAGCCCCACTGCCAGGGTGAGGGGAACAGCTGCCTGCATGCAGCTGATGAGAGCATAGAGTGGGCTGGGAATGGATGGACAGAATGGGTGCTATACAGAACTGGGGCTTTGGGGAGGCAGAAGTGAAAGCCTAACTCCTTTCTCCATCCACCTGCCTCAAACTTCCTCCTGCAGTCCCCAGTTTCCACTTTACCTATGTTGGCTTAGGGCTTCCTTTCTTTACCTTTCTCTTTTTATATCTTCTCCCTGCTCATAGTTCTTGTGCCTCACATTTTCTCTTTTCTGTTATGAATCTCACCCTCCATCACCCTTCTTAAGATTTAAATACTCCAATTTTCCCTGTTCTCACTCCCTTTCTCTAAACTTAGAACTTTCTATGCGTAAACCTCTTCTAGAATTGATCCCTCTCCATTCGTTGTATAACTGAATTATTTTACAGACCTAGAAATAAATCATGTCATACTTAGAAAAGTTAGTAAGATTGGGAAGAATATCTGGGGTAGCAAATTATCAAAATAAAATGAAAAAGGCTTAAAACTGGGCAGCAGAACTGTCACAGCATTAAGGACAACCCAGGAATGGGGATCAGCCCTCTTTGTACCTTCCAGACATCCACCATCATTCACTGAGGGAGGTGGTCTTGTGTTCATCACCTTTCCTGCCATCTAGTTTGGCAAGTTTCCCCCTTTCTTAGTCACATAGATTTTTCCCTCTGTAGCCTCCTCTCCTGGGATGCATGCATACTTTTTGCTGCTTCTTCCCTTGTAGACTCTTTCAACATTCTCAGATTCTCAGTTAATTATTCTGCATATAGTTTATCATTCCATTCTGGAAATTAGGAGTCTCATAGAGGGGTGGGTTAACTATGAAACGAATGAAATTTAAGCTTTAGATTTCCTCATTTAGACAGGTCTCTTCTTGTGCTCTAATAATGTACAGAGCTCTAATAATGTTTTCACATGGTCATAAGTATTTTATAAAAATTGCCCAAGTAAGATGTTTTAACAGCAATAGCTTAAAACCGATTGTATTTGTAATTGTTTTCTTTAAAAGACAGACTCCCAACTTTTATAATATTTAAGCTCTACAAACCCGGATCTGCCCATGTCTTAGCTGTAGGCATTTCTGTCTTAAATTCTGCTGTCTTATGAAAAATAAAAGAAGAAAACTAGGAAGCCCTGACCCACAGTCCCCCTTGCTCTTATCCAGGCACCCTACCCTCAGAAAGGCATCCTCCCCAGAGAAAGGTAGCTGAATCTCCTCTCCCCTGTCTTTGGCATGAACAGGTGTGGGAGGGGGCTGGGGATGAGGCCAGGGAAGCTGGGCGCCAGTGGTAACTCTTCTTTGATCCCGTCTTTCCTGCTGCCAGTGAATCGAACGCCACACTCAGGTGAGCTGAGAAACCCTTATCGCGTGCACTGCAATACCCTGCCCCATCACTCTTTACCCTCCACCCGCCCGGATTCTGCCCTTAGAGTCCTCCCACCAGTCACCCCAGTTTACGGCAGGCTGTTCTTTCCCTACCTGTTTCCTGCCTCTAGTCCCGGTTTTTGCTGGGCCGCGGTTCCTCCCATCTCCCTGCCTGGCTGCCTTTCCCTCGGCGCCTCCTTCTCCCAGACTCTGCTTCGGCCAAATGGCAAAGCCCCAGCAGGGGGCAGCAGGAGGCCGGGATGCCCTGAGCTTCCCCCTTGTCTTCCCTTTGGGGTACCTTCAGACCCTCCCGAGAACCTTTTCCTGGCCGAGAACGTTTTCCTGCCCACCCCTCTCTAGGATTTCACCTGAGGACTCTGTCAGCCGTCCCACCTTTCTCACCCCTGGCCCAGCCTCACCTCCCTCTGTTAGCTCCTTCCTTACCCGTTCCTTCCTCTCATCCTTTTTTTCTTTGTTATCTCAGTTTCATTTCCCATCACCCTTTCAACAGCTTCCCAGCCCCTTGTTTTCTACTTCTGTTCTCATCACTCCCCTTTGCACCCCATTCCCCACTCAGCTATCTCTTTCCAAAACCGTTTCCCCCGCCCTCCGCATCCCAGCCCTCACCTGGCACAGTCTATTTGCTCCCCCATTGACACACTCTGGCTCAGCCCCTTTCCTCCAGCGTCCCACTCCTCTTCGCCTAATCCACCCCTCCCTCCGCTCAAAGCTCCAGCCTCCCCACCTCGCACTCCCGGCAGGCCCCTCCCACTCTCTTCTGCTCCCACAAGGCCCCTTCCTCCTCCCCTTCTCTCAACGGGGTGTCGCTATCTCCCTCTCTTCCCCTCGGCTGGCTCCCCGCTGCCTTTCCCTTGGTTGCGCTCGTCTCTATCCCCGCCCCCCTTTCCCCTCCTCAACTGCTGCCCCCACCCCCTCCGCGTCTCCAGTGACGTCAGAGCCCCTTCCATCCCAGCATCTCTCTCTCTCTTCCTCCTCCCCTCGGTTGGTCAGTCAGTTGCGAGGAGAGGTGGTGGCTGGCGGTGGCCGTGGAGGAAGCTAGAGCTGTGGGGACCTTAGGAAGCCAATCTTCCCTGCTTCTTCGAGGCCCTTGTCCCTTTTGCTCCACAAAACCAGGGATGGAGAGGCCTCCTCGACACCCCTACAGCAGCCCTCCCCAGGACAAGTGTCCCCCCTGAGCTCCTCCTCCCCAAGCAGCTACCTCCCACTCTCTCCCTGCCATGGGTCCAGGGGACGCCAGTACCCGGGTGGGGTGGCCACTGTCCCTCCTGGTGGCCATAGCGGTGGGGGTGGCTCCGGTGGTATGGGCCTCCCACTCTCCCCATCTCCCTCGGCCTCACCTGCGGGTTCCCCCGCACCCCTCCTCAGAGCGGCGCGCGGTGTACATCGGGGCGCTGTTTCCCATGAGTGGGGGCTGGCCAGGGGGCCAGGCCTGCCAGCCCGCGGTGGAGATGGCGCTGGAGGACGTGAACAGCCGCAGGGACATTCTGCCGGACTACGAGCTCAAGCTCATCCACCACGACAGCAAGGTAGCCCTGGACATGGGAGTGGATGGGTGGGGAGGCTTGGGGAGCAGGGGCCCGGCCATCACAGTCTAAGTCATTTCTGGGATTTATAGGCGGACCCCTCCCATATGTGACTAGCAGGAGAAGGGCTGAGAGTACAGGCGCTTGGGGAGAGTCAGAGGGGCTGGAGGTTCAAGATAAGGGTTTAGGGCGTTCAAGATTGTTAGTTGCATTGCAAGGCAGACCCTCCTGTTCTCAGAGACCCATGGAAATGCTGGGGTTTGGGGAAGCTGGTGATGGATTTAGGGTACAAGCTGAGCCTGATTCTCTGGGGAGTAAGCTAACCCTGGGATGGGTTGGGGGATGGAGAGAATTTCAGGTGGGGAACTGTATGGGGTTTACATTTACCATGGCAACAAGGTAAATCTTGGCATCGGTTTTGAGCTGGAAGGAATAGGGACCAAATGAGAAACATTTTGGGGAGGGATTTGATAGCTCTAGGTATCACAAAAAAATTGCAGGTAATGAAGAGCCCCTCCTCACTTCTCAACCCTAATCCTGTGGAGGATTCCTGGACTGTGAGACTATGTAGCATATGTGGTTGGGGAAGGCAGATTCATGGTCAAGAGATGGGTAGAGACACTGGGAAAATGAATTGGATTAGAGGTCCACCTGGGAGCCCCCACAATAGTGTGGGGGTGGAGAGAAATCAGGATACAGGTGGCAGAACTGGACTGGGAAGGGATGACAGTGAGGGAGGGCCAAGGAGGCAAGCTGAGCGGTGAGAGATCCTGGCACATCCTGAGGAACTTAGTACTGCGGCCTCTAAGATGTGAGATGGGAAATGGATGTAGGGTTAAAGAGGTGAGGAAAAGGGAGGGGGGAAGGTAAAGAAATTTATGTCTAGGTGTAGCAGGGGATGGTCCTGTAAGTTTCCTTTCCCTCTCCTATCTGCTACCTAAATAATTGGGCGTGTGGGGAAGGATGTGATACAGGGAGGAAGGAAATTTGGGACCTCACATTCATCTTCTCTCACCTGTGGCACAGTGACTTAAGGGATTGGGAGTGAAATAAAGTACAGAGGTAAAGATTTGGTGACCTCACCTCTGGAGTGAACTGAGAGTTTATATTCATGTTTTAGAACAGTAATCTATATCTAGAAATAGGTATGTGAGGGAGGAGGGACTGAGTGGGATTGAAGGAAGAGGGCTTGGGGAGAAGAGAGCACAGGGGCTTGGAGAGGGAACTTCAGGTCTCTGACACTTTGACAGTGATTCTCAAATGTCACTGTGCATAAGAATCACTGCAGGACTTTGTTAAATATACAGATTCTAATTCCTTGGTTAGGGATGAGTCCCAAGGGTCTGCATTTTTATCAATAAAAATCTGTCCTGATGGGTGCCTACATAGCTAACCCCAGATGTTAATGGGAAGAGTAACAAGGCTCGGGAAGAGAATTAGGTTTTAGGGCAGGAGGCAGCGTGGGAAAGAGGGTCAAGCTGATGGAAGGGTCCAGCTTAGGAGAGCCAGAGAAGTAATTGGCTATGGGGGTGGAACTCTAGGGAGAGACAGGGAGGGATGGATGTAAGCTTTGTGATGGGGATCACAGGGAGCTCAGACTCATCCATGATGACAGGTGAGTCCCTGGGGATGTTGGGGAGCAGATGGGGGACCTGAGAGAAGGGAGATGGAGGAGAAAATAGCAGAGGCAGCAAGGGGGAGATGGAAAGGCAGACAAACTGGAATGTGTTGTTTCCTGCCTGCAAATATGGATCCTTGCAAGAACAGGGGAGCGGGAGAACAGAGGAGGTATGTATTAGGGCTGGGTGAGAATCATGTGGTGGAGGAAGTCTGCAGGAATACACTGGGTGTGGAAGGGCAAAGGGATGTGAAAAAAGGTAGGGAGGGATACAGACACAACGGAAGAGACATCTGGGGAGCATACATTGCCCTGTTTGTATGTACCTTATATATGTTCTTATATGTCCTTGTTGTTCCCAACCACCTTTTCTTTAGAAAAAGAAGGGAGGGTCACTGAGGGGCCTTGTGGGAAGCTGGGGTAGGAAGGATCTGGAGTAACAGATGCTGGGAGAGGTCAGGTAGGTGGGGCCTGAGAACGTAAAGATACACAAAGATGCCCGAGTAGGGGAGATGAGGAATCTCAAAAAAAGACAGCCATTGAGCACTGCCCTTGGCAGTGCGGGCAGGTGTGCAGCAGAGTTCTGGGTTCCTGTTGGCTCTTCAGACTCTGCCAGCCTCCCTGAGTCTCCCTTCTCCAACTTCCCACAGTGTCCCAAATGTCAGGGCTCAGTGGGAAGCGAGCAGATGCTAGGGGGCCTTCTTTATTTCCTTGCAACTTGCCCTCCCCATTTCACCTATCCCAGTCCCCTGTGCTTCCTATTTGTGTCCCCTCTGCCCTGGCTCCCCACTGGCTTCCATTTCTTCTTCACTTCCTTTGGGGCTCCAGCAGCTTCTGAAATGTCACCTTTCAGCAGGAGGGCAACAGGCAGTTGGAGACCCGTTGATCTTCCTCCCCCACTTCCCCTCCTCCCAGTATTCCTTTCCTCTCTAGTTTTCTGCATTGATCACTTTCCCATCTCTATGGCACTCCTTCATTCACCCCTGAAGGTATCTAGTTTCTTAAACATCATTCTATTTATTCTTCCCCGTTCTCCCCTCATCCTTGTTTCTTCCCCCACCCTTAAGTGTCTCTTTTTCTAATGGACCCATCAAATGTCAGGACCCAGCAGGAGGGGATGGATGCTGAGCTAGACCCCCTAGTGGACTTGTTCCTGCTTTCTCTTGTTTATCACTACCCTCTGAGGAGAAGAGGGAGAAGAAAAAAAGGAAGGTGGGGAGAGGGAGTTTGCAGAGGTGAGGGAGGATTTTCCTAAACTGGCTTTGAGGAGGCTATCTGGGGACTTGTGGTGAGTTTGTTCATATTCCTGTAGACTCTTCTATGCACAGATGTTTGGAGCATAGAAACATGGTAAGGAGTAGGAGTGATGGAGGGAAGGTGGTAGGGATATCTTGATGAGCTGGAAGGAGGGAAGGGGTATATGCATTTATACTGACCAAAGGATGTGGAGGAAAGGATATGAGTTAGCACCAGCTGGAAGACAGAGAGGGTATTTAGCAGGTGGGGGGAACCAAGAAAATGGGAACAGGTGCCAGGAAGGAGAGGAACATGGCAGTAATGATAAGAGGGTTTCAGCAGAGGGCTGGGTAGTTGGGGGAAGTAACTAGGTTTTGTGGGAAAAATAAAAGAGAGAGTTGCAGGGATCAGAGGACCTCTAGGAGAGCCTACCTCTCCCTCACTCCCCATTTAGTGTGACCCAGGCCAAGCCACCAAGTACCTGTACGAACTGCTCTACAATGACCCCATCAAGATCATCCTCATGCCCGGCTGCAGCTCTGTCTCCACGCTCGTGGCTGAGGCTGCCAGGATGTGGAACCTGATTGTGGTAAGTGGGGCTTGGGGGTCAGAAGATAGGCCATTCTCTTTTGGGTGTATCTAAGAGGACAGCTTCCAAGATTCAGAGCTCTTTGCAGACCTGAACTAACTAGCCTCCTAGCAACAGTGGCCTGGCTGTGCTGCAGCCACCAGAAGGAACTGAAGTCAGATCAGGGAAGGAGCATCTTGATTGTGAGGGTGTGTGGGCCTTCGGGAATTGCTTTCCTAGGGTGGAAGTAGAGACACTTGGAGAGAGTGGGAAAGGTTGGAAGCTCTCTTGGCAGCTCTTGGTAGCTGCCCACGTGTGGTGGAGTCCACGTGTAACGTCCCCTGTTGCCCTATTCCTGTTCCTCATAGCTTTCCTATGGCTCCAGCTCACCAGCCCTGTCCAACCGCCAGCGCTTCCCCACATTCTTTCGAACTCATCCATCAGCCACATTGCACAATCCAACCCGTGTGAAACTTTTTGAAAAGTGGGGCTGGAAGAAGATTGCCACCATCCAGCAGACCACCGAAGTCTTCACGTCGGTGAGGAGGACCTGAATAAACGGGCATTCACTCCAACTGCAGTGCAGAGAGATGTGACGTGGAATCCATTCCGGGGAAAGATCCTGATTCTTTATCACGAGAGAACACAAGGGGGTTAAGTGCATGTTCTTTCTATAGCTAGAGGAACGAACAAGCTTAATTTTCAGGATCCTCTTCAACTTTTTGGTTTTAGGGCTTTTTCCCCACTTTGATGCTTTGTTCTCCAGACAGGTAGTTCCCAAATGACCCAGGTCTAATAAAGTAGGTTCACTCCAAGGTCAGGACACAGTAAGGGAGAGAATATGTGATAGGAACCCAGGTAGCAGATTCCAGAGGTGCTCGTGGGGGTGGTGGGTGGGTGTGAATGGGAATAGCAGGATGGAGCTGTGGAAGTGGGTACAGGCACAGAGAAGGAGGAGAGAGGGAGAGAAAGATGGAGACAGAGACAGAGAGCAAAGGAAAGGGAGAGGGAGAGAAAGAGAGGAGACAGTTGGAAAGACAAATATGTGAACATGGGTCAGGTAGCTGACTCAGAGAGATGCTGACAAACAAGGTGAGGTGGAAGTAGAGAGGAAACACATGATCTACCTGAAGAAGACAGTTGGCTTCCTCTCTTTTATTCTGTTTGAATCTTCTATTCACCCTTATGTTCAGCGGCCCTTTAATCTTCCCCCCAACTTTCTCTTAGTGATTCAGGACATTCTTCTGTGGTCCTTTTGTCTGTCTGCTCACTTGCCTCTTGAGATTGATATAATCTATATCAGATCCTGTCTTGTCTTTTCCTGGTTCCTCTGTTTCCTTTTCTCCTATTTTTGCTGTCAGTGGTAAGGGGCTGGGGCGGGGGGTGAGTGGGTGTGACTTGTGTGGACATAGAAGCTCAGGAGGGCTCGCCATGCTCCATGCTCCTCCTCACTTGGGAGCCATATCCTGAGACTCCAGGTGCTTTCCTTTGAGCACTCTTGGACAGAGGATGTTGGAGGAAGAAGGTTCACACTGCTGCTGTTCCTTCATTGAATGTGCAGTCGCAGGTAAGATCTCTGGTCTTTGCCCACTGTGCACCCCATGTTTTCTCTGTTTTTCATTCCCACTCAAGACTCTGGACGATCTAGAGGAACGAGTAAAGGAGGCTGGAATTGAGATTACTTTCCGCCAGAGTTTCTTCTCAGACCCAGCTGTGCCTGTCAAAAACCTTAAGGTGGGGTGATTGGAATGGCAGGGTGACAGTGGTGGGTTGGAGAGGAGAGTCAGGTGGGGGAATGTTTGTTATTTTATTTTTAAATTGAGATGTAATTGACATATAACATTGTGTAGGCTTAAGGTGTACAACATGTTGATTTGATGTACTTACAGATTATAGTATGACTACCACTGTATTGGCTAATACCTCCATGACAGTCATCTCCTGGGGAAGTTTATCTCCATCTTTCGGTTGATATCCACCACTTATTGAATAGAACTGTGCACTAAACACTTTGGGTCAGGAAATCATAGCTGTAAGAGCACTTGGCTTAGCCCCTCCAGCATTCCAGATACACTTAGCACTGTTTCTCTCTCCATTCTGTAGCGCCAGGATGCCCGAATCATCGTGGGACTTTTCTATGAAACTGAAGCCCGAAAAGTTTTTTGTGAGGTGGAGTTGGAATCTGAAGAGGGAGGGGGACTGGGTGCATTCTTTGCCTTGGGTGTGTCATGGGATCTCTCTCCACGTCTCTGCTTAAGTTGATAGCAAATGGTATGAGGTGTTGATTAATATGATGTCCCCATCTGTTGGCTTTGACTCCATCTCTCAGCTTCTCACACACATGACACAGATCTTATTTTCCCTCTACTTTGTATTTCTGGAGGAGCCTGTGGATCCTGTCATTCCTTACTGGCTGTGAAAGGCCACTTGAAAATAGAGGCTAGGGAAGAATTTAGGAGGAGGAGTAGAGCCTTTCCTACCACCTCACCAAGACTTGTAGATTTCTCTTTTCAGTTCTGTGTTCTTCTCTGATTCCTAAGAGGCTGAATAGTGACAAGCGAGATAAGAAGAAAAAAAAAGGAACAGAGACTCAGTCCTCCTCCTTCTTTGTATTTAGGTGTACAAGGAGCGGCTCTTCGGGAAGAAGTATGTCTGGTTCCTCATTGGGTGGTATGCTGACAATTGGTTCAAGATCTATGACCCGTCCATCAACTGCACAGTGGACGAGATGACTGAGGCGGTGGAGGGTCACATCACCACTGAGATCGTCATGCTGAACCCTGCCAATACCCGCAGCATTTCCAACATGGTGAGATTGTGAGAACTTAGTTAGAAGCTGGCACTTAGGCAGGTGGGGAGGACTGAGGGAGCCTCAAAGGGGAGGGGAACAGGTGTGGAGTTTGGAGGTACAGAGGGGCAAGGGGCCTTTACCCCTTTTGAGGTTCTTTTTACATCGTATTTCCATGGATTCCACTTCTGCTCTGGCTGCCTTGGGCAGGGAAAAGAGATGAGAGTGGTTTAATGAGTAGAAAGGCTGTTCATGGAAGCAAGGAGCAGTTAGCAAGAAATGAAATGAGGGAGAGGTATTAATGATAACATCGATAGGTGCTGTATACATAAGCACACCTTTACAGGAGCAGTGTTCCTGGCTAGAAATATATTTTATTTTCTTGGTGATTTTAGAGCTTTTTGATACTAACAACTTAAAATTTTTTTTTTACATTGATTTGAGGCAGGGTGGAGAGAGAGAAAGAGAAAGGAACATCAATTTGTTCACTTATTTATGTGCCCTGGCTGGGGATCAAACCTGTAACCTTGGCACAGCGGAATTGTGCTTTAAACAACTGAGATACCTGGACAGGGTGTTTTATATTCACTTCTGGTTGATGCTCCATTAGCTTGGCTCTTCCTGATGGTTTTTAAATAATCTTATAATTTTAGATGTAAAGGAGACTTTTGAAATTATTTAGCCCCAGATAGCTGATTAGTGACAGACCTAGAGCTAGAAGACACATCCTCTGATTTAGGAAGGCTGAGGCAGCCTTTGCAGGTGTGGGGCACAAGTGAGCAGGGTATGAGGGGGAGAAGCACTACATCTTAGGGAACACAGAATCTTGGATGAGCTGGATAAGGCTACTTGTGTGTCTGCTTACTATACCAAGGGCAGCCCCAGGTCTGGAATACCTGCTTTGGACAGGTTGCTAGGAGTGAGCTAATGGTTATAAAGCCCTCCGATTATCTCATTAAAACAAAGTTGTAGTAATAATTGCTTTTGTGTAGTAAACCAGAAGTTTGCATACATACTTTCAGTGATCCTCACAGCAATACTCTGTTGTAGATTTTTCATTTCCATTTTATAGGCTAGGAAACAGACTCAGAGAGGTTAAGTTACTTACTTGTCCCAGGTCATGAAACTACTGCGTGGTCAGGCTGGAATTGAACCTAATTGAATCTGAGTCCAAACCACTCTGCCCTCTTCACCTTCCATGGGAAACCATGAAGTCAGACTAAAACGTTTTAACTTTTATGGGCTAACACAGTTTAAGTGTTGGCAGTTTATGAATAAGAGAGAAAGAAGAGTCGGGAAATTTATTCTGGCAATGTGTTGTGATGAAGGGTCAGTCATTTGCTATGTGGGCTCTGATTATGGATACTATCCTGGGACATTCTAAGGGACTCTATAGGTAAGGTATCTTGGTTGAAAATATGTTGGAACAATTCTGGAAGGTCACTTGATAGGTGAGTCATCCTCAAGAACCTAGGAAAGTGATGTTGAAAAGGCTTGTTGGTGCCGTGAGCCCAGGACCTTAGTGTTGTGGCTTCTTCCTCCTACCAGGGAGCTAGAGGAGCCCCACACAGGAAGCAGGGATGTGGTTAGGGGTATGGAGGGACATTTGAGCAGAATGAATTAGATAGAGGTCTCCTTCTGACTCTTGGTTTCTAGAGAAAAATGGTGCCTGCCTTTGAGCTCATAGGGCTTCTAGTGACACCAGGCAAGCTCAGTAACCTAAAATGCCAGGGGCAAAAGCCAAGATTTACCAGAGGGTAGAAGCAGACTTAACAGTTAACTAGAGGAGAGATTATAGGTCCAAGAAAAGTAGATAAGAAGCAAGGGTTGGTCTTAGGTGCCCAGAGCCTTGATAATTTAGAAAAGAAGCAGAGTTGCCTTTCTTTATTCTACAAGGATGGCCTTAAGTTTAGATTAATAGTTCTGAAAGTTTAGCTTCTATCAGAATTACCTGGAAGGTCAGTTAATAAGGGAAAAGGGCCATTTCCATTAGAAGCTCTGATTCAGGGGTAGGCCTGGGTTTAGGGTTACATTTTTGACAAGTTCTCTGGGGAAATTGATGCTTCTGAGGACTATTGGTTAGAGCAGTGGTTTACAAACAGAGGTTGCAGTATCTAGGGACAATTTTGGTTGTTACATCTGCTGTCTAATGGGTAGGCTAGTGATCCTTCTAAAACATCCTACAATGTACCAGACAGTCCCCCACAACAAAGAGTTATCCTGCACCACATGTCAGTAGTGCAGATACTGAGAAACCCTGGCTTAGAAAAAGAGTGTTTAGGAGTTAGATGTGGGAGAGTGGGCTAGAGGGGCTCTGGAGAAAGGTTATAGCTCTGGGCTAGAGGGGCAGGTGGGTGGTGGGGGTAAGAATGTGAGTAAAATGAGCAAATTCTGACTGGATAAAGGTCCCATCAGATCTGGGGACAATATAAAATAAAAATCCACAGGCCTGCAAACCAAAGAGTCACTGGTTCGATTCCCAGTTAAGGCACATGCCTGGGTTGTAGACCAGGTCCTCTGTAGGGGGTGGGCGAGAGGCAACCACACATTGATGTTTCCTTCCCTCTCTTTCTCCTTCCCTCCCCCTCTCTCTAAAAATAAATAAATAAAATCTTAAAAAAAAATCCAAAAACTACCTCAGTGTACATATTTTAGATCACTGTTGAGCATTCATTCTCACTTATAGAAACAGCCAGACAGAGCTGGGAAAGAGTTACTATCATAAGTTTGCAGTTAGTTACTTCACTAATTTCTGTGGATTATGGAATTTTTATTGTTCTGTTCTCCTTAAACTGCCTAATAACATTTCCATTTGAAAATTGACAGCTCTATACTTGCCAACCCAAGGGGGAAGATGTTTTTGTTTACTTTAGTTATGCAGGGGTCAGTTGTGGCACCAGAGCCAAACAACGTGTTAGTGGTAGTGACCTGGAGCCAGCAGGATGTGAGGGTGGCATCATGCAGGGTGGATGAGTCCTCCCCTAGTGGGTGATTTTCTGATGTAGCACTTACTTTGAACTGCAGATTAGTTAGACTTGGTGGCTGAAGGACTACTCAGAAAGCCTCAGCCTGCCCTGGCCAGGTAGCTCAGTTGGTTAGAGCATTGTCCTGATATACCAACATTGTGGGTTTGAACCCTGGTCAGGGACCATACAAGAATCAACCAATGAATGCATAAATAAGCAGAATAACAAATCCATGTTTCTCTCTCTCTTTCCCTCTCTAAAAAAATCATCAAATTAAAAAAATTGTAAAAGAAAAAGAAAGCCTCAGGCTCACTGCTGCCTGTTCAGTAGATGCTCTAGAAGAGAGATGTTTCAGCTTACACAAGCAGTGTCGGGCAGTTGGGAAGAGTCTCGACTTTGATGTCAGGCTGCCTGGGTTTGCATGCTGCTATGCACTAGCAGTACTTCAGACAAGTTGAACTTTTCTGTGCCTCAGTTTCCTTATCTCTAGAAAGGGCCATAAACCTCATTAGATTATTTAAGGATTAAATAAGTTGATATATGTACCTTAAAAAAGTGCCTGGTACATTGTATGAACAATATAAATATTAGCTGCTATTCTGTGTAGGGAGGGATGAGACATTTCAACAAAGGAATTAAGAGAACTTGGTGATTTGAAAGAATGTAAGCCCACAGGGATGTCTAAACTTTTGGTGTGTCTGGGCCACACTGGAAAAAGAATTGTCATCTTGGGCCACACATTAAATACATTGTGACATGTAATCACAAAAAAATCTCATAGTTTTAAGTAAATTTACAAAAATTGTAAAATTACAATTTTGCATTAGGCTACATTCATAGCCATCCTGAGCCACTTGCAGACAGCGGGCTACAGGTTGTACACCCCTGCAGGTGATTCTAAGGATTTAATCTCATGTCCTGGGAAATGTTGGGGAGTGATGAAAATTGAGCTCAGTCTTAGATATTTTTAATTTGAGATCATTTATCATATAGTTACAGATGCTTTAGAGATAATTGGAGATATAGGACTTAAAATACCAAGCTGGATTATAGAGCTCAGTAATAGTGACAAAGATGAAGCTGAGAGACAAAAAATCATGAAGATGTGAATTCACAAAAATGTAACTTGCTTTATACCCACCATTTTATATATGTGTTATTTCATCATTATAATAACTCTTCAAGGTAGTAGTATTCCCATTTTAAAGCCGAATAAGCAACTACTAAGGTTTAGCAACTTGAGAGTAATAGCAGGTAAATGAATTAGTTAGAATTGGAATTCATGCACCTATATTTATACATTCAATGAACATTTAAAAAACACTTTATTGTTTTTAAAGCAGCTCAAGTCCACAGCAAAATTGAGAGGAAGGTGCAGATATTTTCTGTATGCCCCCCTGCCCTTATACATGTATAGGTTCCTTCATTATCAACATTCCACAGAGTAGTTACAATTGATGAACCTACATTGATACATCATTGTCACCTATAGTTTACATGAGGGCTCATTCTTAGTTATACATTTTTTAAGTATATTTTATTGATGATGCTATTACAGTTGTCCCATTTTTTTTCTTCCCTTTATACCCTTCTGCCGTGCACTACCCCTCCCTCCAGGATTCCCAGCTTTAGTTAATGCCCGTGGGTCCTACATATAAGTTCTCTGACTTCTCCATTTCCTATACTGTTCTTAACCTCTCCCTGTCTATATTGTACCTACTAGTTATGCTTCTTATTCCCTGTTCCTTTTCCCTCAATCTCCGTCCTTCCCTACCCCACTGATAACCTTCCATGTGATCTCCATTTCTATGACTCTGTTCCTATTCTAGTTGTTTGCTTAGTATGTTTTTGCTTTTTTTTTTTTAGGTTCAGTTATTGATAGTTGTATTTGTTGTCATTTTACTGTTCATATTTTTGATCTTCTTCATTTTCTTAGGTAAGTCCCTTTAACATTTCATATAATAAGGGCTTAGTGATGATGAACTCCTTTAACTTGACTTTATCTGAGAAGCACTTTATCTGCCCTTCCACTCTAAATGTTAGCTTTGCCAGATAGACTAATTCTGGATATAGGGTCCTTGCCTTTCATGACTTTGAATACTTCTTTCCAGCCCCTTCTTGCCTGCAAGGTTTCTTTTGAGAAATCAACTGATAACCTTATGGAAACTCCTTTGTAGCTAACTGTCTCCTTTCCTCTGGCTGCTTTTAAGATTCTCTCCTTATCTTTAATCTTGGGTAATGTAATTATGATGTGTCTTGGTGTGTGCTTCCTTGGATCTGACTTCTTTGAGACTCTCTGGGCTTCCTGGACTGCTGGAAGTCTATTTCCTTTGCCAGATTGGGGAAATTCTCCTTCATTATTTGTTTTTAAAAGTTTTCAATTTCTTACTGTTCCTCTTCTCCTTCAGGTGCTCCTGTGATTCAGATGTTATAATGTTTAAAGTTGTCCTTGAGGTTCCTAAGCCATTCCTTAGTTTTTTGAATTCTTGTTTCTTCATTCTTTTCTGGTTGGGTATTTCTTTCTTCCTTCTATTCCAAATTGTTGATTTAAGTCCCAGTGTCCTTCCCTTCACTGTTCGTTCCCTGTATATTTTTCTTCTTTACTTTGCATAGCCTTCATTTCTTCCTTGTTTTGCAACTGTTCTCAGTCATTTCTGTTAGCATCCTGATTACCAGTGTTTTGAACTCTCCATCTGATTGGTTGGCTATCTCTTCATTGCTTAGTTCTTTTTCTGGAGTTTTGACCTGTTCTTTCATTTGGGCCATATTTCTTTGTCTCAGTGCACCTGTTATGTTGTAAGAGGTGGAGCCCCTTACCATTGGTCCAGGGTGGGGCAACCCACTTTGCTGTGTTGTGGTGCTGTCTGTGGGGGAGTCAGAGAAGGAACAATGTTGCTTGCTTGGCTCTCCCCCGCTTTCAGTCACTTCCCTCCCTTCCCACAAGCAGATTGTGCCCTTTCAGGTTCTGATTTCCAGGTGAGTGGGCTTGTGTGTGTTCTAGGATCCTGTGGGCCCCTCCAACAACCTCTCCTGTGAGAGTGGGAGTTTCTCTCACCGCCACTGCAACCCTCACAAGTTTTTATAGCCAGATGTTTTGGGGCTTTAGTTTCCCACACTGGAACTTTGGGTTGTGCTGTCTGTCTCGCTCCCCAGTTGTTTCTCCTGGCCTATCTGCATGTGAATGTGGGATATCCCAGTCCAGTAGCTGCTGCCTTGCCTGCCCTGGTCTGGCAGCCACTGCTCTTCACGCACCCTCATTGCTCCAGCTTCCCATCTCCTCCTTACCTACCAGTCTGGGTGAATGTTTCTTCTTTAACTTCTTGGTTGTTAGGCTTCCATACAGTTTGATTTTCTGGAAGTTCCAGTTATTGTTTTTTTTAATTGGTTGTCCTTTTGGTTGTGAGGAAGCAAAGAGTATCTACCTATGCCTCCATCTTGGCTGGAAGCCTCTGGAGTTATACATTCTGAGATATATATATATATATATATATATATATATATATATATATATATATATAGTCTGATGTGTGTGTGTGTGTGTGTGTGTGTGTGTATATATATATATATATATTCTGTCTGACAAGTCCAGCCATTGTTAATATAATGAGAGTAGTTTATGAGACATCAATGTAACCTGGTAGGCATGGGGAGTGGACTGGAATGCGCAGGCATGAATAATGACAACTTCACTCTACTAGTCAGTGGGAGCAGTAGATTCTGTTGAGTAAACATGTGTTCTGTGTGGCTGTCACATTCAAAATGACAGAGCAAGTAGAGCAATGAATCTGTATTAAATTTTGCAATAAACTTGAACATTCCTCCATGGAAACTATTTGGATAGTTCAGAAGGCCACAGCTATGGACAACTAGTGATTGACAGCTTCATCGTGATAATGTACCCACACATGTATCATATCTCGTATAGAGTATTTTGTCAAAACATCAAATCACCCAGGTGACTCAGCACCCCTAGAGCCCAAATGTGGTGCCCTGTAACTTCTGGCTTTTCCCAAAATTAAAACCTTTGAAAGAGAAGAGATTTCAGATTGTTGATGAGATTCAGGAAAATATAACCTGACAGCTAATGACAATTGGAAAAACTGGGGGGGGTCCCAAGGTGCCTACTTTGAAGGGGACTGAGGTGTCATTGTCCTATGTACAATGTGTCTTTTATCTTATTCAATTAATGTCTCTATTCAGATGACATGGCTGGATACCTTCTGGACAGACCATATATATGTGTGTGTGTGTGTGTGTGTATCTGTGTGTATATGTACACATACATTTATTTCCATCATTATAGTATCATATAGAGTATTTTCACTGCCCTAATTCAATGGATATCCATTATCAACTGAGCATAATGCTCGGTTCTGAGGCTAAGGAGAGGACTGGAACCTGATCCTGTCCTTAAGGAGAATTAAGTACAGGCCTATCTGTTTTGAAAGCCCAGGCTGTTTCCACTGCACCACAACTGCCTGTCCTTTGCATTTTCCACTCCTTTGTGTCTCCAGAAAGTTGAATAGAAAGAAAAATGAGCAGGGCATGGGGAATGGATATTTTTATCTGTTCTTCATTTGTCTCTTCATTTCTTTATAGAGTGTGTGTATACTAATATATTCCAAATCTAAATAGAGGGTGTAGGGCCTGTGTCTTACTTGTGCCTTGCCACGAGGTGCCTACTGAGCCTTTCTATGTGTGGTTTCTGGGGTGTAAGGAAGGGCAGGTGTGATTTTCTATATTATTATTTGCCTATGGTCATTTAGCTAAGTAAGGTTACTACCAAGTATAGAAATTCAGATCTCTCAACTTATTTCATGACAGTTGAAGGAGCTGTCATTCTATTTAGCTTTCTTGGAAAAATAAGGTTTAGGGTTGGGAGTGAGCGTTGTGGGTAGGAATTGAATAACAGGCTTTAAAAATGTTAAGGTTATTTCCACAGTACTCAGTCTTCTCAAAACCATCTAAGTGTCAGTGAACTGAAAGCACATGAGGATGAAAAGTCAAAACACTAAAGAAAAATCTTCCAGGCTGACAAGTAGATGAAAAAGGTGTGGTGCCACCTTTTCTGAGATTGTTCAGAATTGGAGGAGCTGTTTGGTGCTGGGTCAGTTCCGTTGGGAAGGTCTGAATGAGAGCACAGTGTTACAGCTCTCCGTGGGAATATCCATTCTCTTGCTTTTCTCTATCTCTACTTTTTATCTTTTGCCATTTATTATGCAAAGTGTCTATTCTTTAACAACTCTGTAGTTCTGAGCTAGCAGCTATTCACACTAAGACCATTGGACCCAACTAATCTCTGCTCTAGTCTAGTATAGCTTCTGATATAAGACAGACACTTGGGTATGGTCATAGTTAAAGATGTACATGTACATGTGCTCACCATGACAACATGAACTTAAACCATCTAGTCAAGCCATAATGTCAGAACCAGAATCATATGCCACCACCCATTCCCTGTCACACTCTAATTCTTTCCTCCTCAGACATCCCAGGAATTTGTGGAGAAACTGACCAAGCGACTAAAAAGACACCCTGAGGAGACAGGTGGCTTCCAGGAGGCACCCCTGGCTTATGATGCTATCTGGGCCTTGGCACTGGCTCTGAACAAGACATCTGGAGGGGATGGCCGCTCAGGTGTGCGCCTGGAAGACTTCAACTACAACAACCAGACCATTACTGACCAAATCTACCGGGCAATGAACTCCTCATCCTTTGAGGGTGTCTCTGTGAGTTCCAGGGACTTCTTCACACTCTTCTGTCCTCCCACTGAGAGAGAGATACCCTCTCCTGGAATCGTGTGTTCTCTGTCTCTCTGTTACCTCCCTATAATAATCAATGTCAGACCAAGGAAGTAGGGACCCCAAACCTGAAAACCCACCAGGGATTAGAAGGGGAAAAGGGGTCTGTTCTATTTCTTTCAGTCCCACCCCTCATTTCTTTTCAGTCCAGACATTGATGAGTCACATAAGAATCATAGGATTTTGAAAGAGGAAACAGAGATCATCTCCTTATTTCTTTTAAAGTGGGGAAACTAGCATCTAGAGGGATTTGGTGACTTACTCAGGTCACACAGCCATAAACCAGGTCTCCTGGTGCTCCCTCTACCTGGGGATTTATCCCATTCCTATCTATCTCATGGGTGAAATTTTTCTAAAAAATAGCGATTCTGAAATCTAGGGTATGAGTATCTGGGGTATGTCCTATATGCAGGCAAATGCCATAAATAGAATTCATTCTGAAGCTCAATTAACATAAAAAAACCTAAGGATTCAAAGAGTCTTTGATGTTCTCTTTCACTCTTGCCTTTGTCCTCTTTGCCTTCCTGCTCATGTTCTTCTCCCTCAGGGCCATGTGGTGTTTGATGCCAGTGGCTCTCGGATGGCATGGACACTTATTGAGCAACTCCAGGGTGAGCACAGGGCCATAAGTTGGGGACATGGGGACCATAGGGTGGGGGCATGGGGACCAGCTGGAGCTGGGCTAGGACACCAGATGGTATCACAAGCCAGTCTGAGTGCCTCTCCACCTCCTGCCTTCCTCTTTTGACTGTGTTCATCAAGCTTTAGTAATAATAATAAACAGTAAAAACAACTCATATATGGGTGGATTTCTTTGAGCAGCAGTGGTTGTGTTCTTGAAAAGTGGCATGCACTTTGGAAACAGCCTCTGTGTCTCCATTGGCTTTGATTTTTTAAAAAAGATTTTGTTTATTTATCTTTAGAGAAAGGGGAAGGGAGGGAGAAATAGAGGGAGAGAAACATCAACGTGTGACTGTCTTTTGCATGCCCTCTAGGTCCCCTGGGGACTTGGCCCACAACTGAGGCATGTGCCCTGCCTGGGAATTGAACTGGCTCACAGGGCAGCATTTAATCCACTGAGTCACACCAGCCAGGGCTGGCTTTTATTTTATTTAAAAAAATATTTTATTTATTTTTTTTAGAGAGAGAGGAAGGGAGGGAGAGAAACATCAGTGTGTGGTTGCTTCTCATGTGCCCCCAACTGAGGATCTGGCCCACAACCCAGGCGTGTGCCCCAACTGGGAATCGAACTGGTGACTCTCTGGTTCGCAGGCCAGCTCTCAATTCACTGAGCCACACCAGCCAGAACCTGGCTTTGATTTTAATTGAAGAAATTTCCTTTTGGTAGCTTGGGTTGCGGGGTTAATGACCTCTCCCTTGCATACCCATGGACTCAAGGAAAGTTGAATCTAGGAAACCTACTATTTTTAAAGAGAATTTATATAATTTTCTTGCTATGTGAGTAACCATTCTGAATATTTCTGCAGTATGTGCAGTTTGTCTTTTCTAGGTTGTATTTTCTTATAACGTAGCACAATTATGTATTTGAAAAACTGTGAGTTAATTTTTCAACTCCACCACATTCACCTTCATAGCACGGTCAAGAGAGCTGTTTCTTGGCTTTCTGTGAAAAGTTTCTTTCTTCCTCCTACCTCCCACAATCTCTCAGTTCCCCTTTGTATCTCAGACAAGAGGGAATGGACTTCAGCCATGGTGAAGGGGATGTGAGTTGACTTTTGATGGAAAAGTCAGGGTAACTGGGACAGTTTTAGAACAGAAATCTTAGGAGTGACTGAATTTTACTTTGTGACTCTTTCAGGGGCAGGTACAACTTACTTAAGGAATTAAAACCCAAGCCAACCAACATAAAATAAATTTATAAAATTAAAAGGAAAGCCACTGGGAAAATAATTCTATGATTCTGTCTATCATGAGAGGGAGAATAAACAAATGTTTAAAGCTTTAAAACTAGAATCAAAGCGAGACATCTTGCTAAGAGAGGCGTGGGGCAGTGGAATGAGTGGCAGACACATGGTGGAACCTTCTTTGCTGAACAACTTTACATGTATAAGATTGACTTGTGGGACCCACTTTACGCTGCTTTTAAGTCAGGTTACTTATTCATGTGACCCCTCAGATCCTTGCAAGTTATCTTTCAGGGGCTCAGGTGAAGAGAAAATCAGATACAACCACAGAAAGCTACATTAGGAAAGTAGAAAGTTGGGAAATGCCCATGATCTGATCTTCAACCTGTGGTCACTCTTTTTATTGTCATCTGTCCAGGTGGCAGCTACAAAAAGATTGGCTACTATGACAGCACCAAGGATGATCTTTCCTGGTCCAAAACAGATAAGTGGATTGGTAAGTAGATCCTATTTTATTTCCTTTCATCCCCTCTGTACAATCATGGAAACAGTCATGCATTTGAATGAAGGTGGGGTTGTAGCTGCCATTAAGTTGAAATGCTCCAGAGAATGGACCAGGAGCTGGGGTTCAGAGAAAGGAAATAGAATCTCCAGTACGCAGGTAGGGGAGACTGGTGTATTTGGAAACAGAATAGACAGTTGGTAGCATGCACTATTAAAAGCAGTGGGTCAGAGGCAGGGTGGGAAAGGGGAACTCCATTTGGGTGTCCCAGATGTTCTGGTGCCTTGATATGTCAGGCTTCAGTTGCCTCTTTATCTCTGAAGAAAACAATTGCTTAAACTATAAGAAGGATAGAAATCGTCTTCTACTAAAACGTGCATTATAAAAGGGGAAAGTAACCAATATTTCTTTGCTTGGTGGGCTAAAATAATAGGAAATGGTAAAGATACTAACAGTAGGCAAAAGGAAGGTCTTCCTGGTAAAATAAAGGCTTGACATTTGAAGAATGGAGGGAGGCACAGCCATGGGAGACCCCTGCCATTCACCTGCCCAGTTGGAGTCTAGTAGCTCCCATCCCTGCTGGAATTCTGAAATGTTTTATAATTTGAATGTAGGGCAGTGTTCTGTACAGCTATAAATGCTGCATGGCCTAAATTACACTTACATTTTCCCCCAAGCTAACCAAATTAAAAACTCCCCCCCACCCCCCACCCCGCAAACTGACAAATTTAAGCTTCCTCTTAGTGCTTGGTAATAACTGAAAAACACCTTTGGGAATACCAGCCTGTCAGAGTTAAAAATCATAGATTAGTTTTTGTTTCTTCTTTTCCTAAAGTTAGGAGGGCAGACTAGATACTTGGGGGCTCTTTAGCTTTATGATTTTACAATCATTAAGCTTTTTTGCAGCTTTTGATTTAAGTCATAAGAAACCTCATCATTTTCTCAGCTCTCCCCTTCTTTCCATTCCCATTTTTCTTTCCTGCAAGAAAAACAAAGAACAAACAATAACAAAAAAAGACTATAACTTTGGTGACACATCTCAGCCTTTGTCAGCCTCTAGTTCAGACATGTACTCCATTTTCTGATCACTTCTCTCATTGTCCCCTGAGAGGTTTGCACCCGCAGCAGCACTGCTTAGGGCACTTAGGTCTCCTGTCCTCACAGCCAAAGAACTGAGTGTCCACCAGCGGCTCTGTCCATTGCCTTCCCCCTATCCCACCTTCATTCTTTCATCCCCCTTCCTTTTCTTTCCCTTTCTCCCCCTCCCCTATGCCATAGGAGGGTCCCCCCCTGCTGACCAGACCCTGGTCATCAAGACGTTCCGCTTCCTGTCACAGAAACTCTTTATCTCCGTCTCGGTTCTCTCCAGCCTGGGCATTGTCCTAGCTGTTGTCTGTCTGTCCTTTAACATCTACAACTCCCATGTCCGGTAAGTGTATCTTCTGATGGTTTTCTTGTCCTTTCTATCTCTCCAAGATAATGATCATTGAAGGGAGTGAGAATCAAACCTGTATAACTTCTAGGCCATATATCATTGAGGTTTCTACACTGTCCTACTGCTTTCTTAATGATCACTGAGCATGAAAGGGGAGAAACCAACCAGAACTCCCATCACTGCTTCAAAGCAGCTAACTGTGCAGGCAACACAGTGCAGGGCTCTAGATAAAATGTTTGTGAAGGGAAGCGCTCTGTAAGTCCATGCATAGTCCCTGACCAGTCATCTTTCTCTCAAGGCTCTGCTTCCTGCTCCAGGCCTGTCTTCCTTTGTCTGTGGCATTTGGAGAGCTGAGCCTCCCTTCAGAAGGGGGTAATTCTGCTCTTCTCTCTCTCCCTCCCTTCCTGCTTCTGCCCTAGTTATATCCAGAACTCACAGCCCAACCTGAATAACCTGACAGCTGTGGGCTGCTCGCTGGCATTAGCTGCTGTCTTCCCCCTCGGGCTGGATGGTTACCACATTGGAAGAAACCAGTTTCCCTTCATCTGCCAGGTGAGGGGGGCACAGATACCATGCAGACTTTGGCTGACATACCACTCAGGAGCACCTCCTGTGCTGTCTAGTTCCCTGCCTTTCCTTCTAATGTCACTGCTCTGATCTGTCTCGGTCTCTGCCCTATCTTTCTGTGCCTCCAGACACTTTTCATTCTGTAGCTCACTTGTTGGTTCCCAGGTTGCCATGGCATGCTTTGCCAAGAAGAGGAGGGGGTATTGAAGATGAAGGAAGGGGTCTGAACAAAGAAACAGTGATGGCTTGTCTTTGGTGTGGGGACTGAGAACAGGAACTGGGTTTCCTGTGGGAGCCTTAGTTGGCCTTGGGAAGGGTGGAGGCAGAAATGTGAATTGACAGCTGGGACAGTGAGGGGAAGGGACCACTGTTACACAGGGAGAGGCCCTATGGGACTCTTGGTACATGGAAGATTCTGCAGCTGTGGGGAAAGGCTGGTTTCAGCAGTGGTATTTGTGTGGTTCTATGTTATGCTGGTAGGAAACACACACTGTTTTCCCTGCCCACCTTACTACTTCTCTTTCCTCTGCCCATTGCTTGTCTTCATGACTCTCTGCACAGGGCATTTGCACATACATGCACATTCCACTCATTAGGAGCGGTGTCTTTCCAGTGAGACCAGAATGCAGTGAGGAGGCAGACAGTTTGCTACAGTACAGTGTGACAGGTGTCTGAAGAGGGATCTGTGCAAAGTGCTGTGGGAGCAAATGAGAGAGCAGCTCGGAGTGGTTGGGCAGACCTTAAAGAAGAGGTGATGTTTAAATATTGAAGGATGCACGGGATTTTGTCAGCTGGGAACATCATGTGACTAGCGAAGACACGAAAGACAGCAGACCAAGGGAGAGCCAGTTGAGCAGCATGGCTAGAGTGTGGGGCAGGCAAGGGCCTGGGAGCTGAGCCTGGAAAGATGAGTGAGACCATGCTGTAAACAGTCTCCTGCCATATTCTGAGATTTCTAGGCTGCAACCTTTAGGCATTGGGGAATGGTCAGAAGTGACTGGTCATTAAAACCAGGAGGTTTTAGCAAGATCACTTGGTGGCAAAGTAGAAGATGGATGGGAGGAATCTGTTGAAGGTAGGGAGCCCTCCCCTATGGGCATTCCCCTCTCCTACTATTCCTGCTGGCTGCCTTTTGCCTGCATGGTCATCTGTCCCCTGCTGCAGCCCTGCCCTATTCTGCTCCTGCCTCTCTCCTTTCCTAGGCCCGCCTCTGGCTCCTGGGTCTGGGCTTTAGTCTGGGCTATGGCTCCATGTTCACCAAGATCTGGTGGGTCCACACGGTCTTCACAAAGAAGGAGGAGAAGAAGGAGTGGAGGAAGGTGAGCTGTTTGCCATCCCTCAGCCCCTGGTGCCTTGGCTGTCAGCTTAGTAGGCTTCCCCTTATGTGCCTGTTCTTTGTGTTTGCCCAGACCCTGGAGCCCTGGAAGCTGTACACCACAGTGGGCCTGCTGGTGGGCATGGATGTCCTCACTCTCACTATCTGGCAGATTGTAGACCCCTTGCACCGGACCATCGAGGTACCACTTGGGGTCAGAAGGCTGAGCAGTCACGGCCTTCAGGGCTGCATGTGGTCTTGAGGAGGAAAGCCCCTCTGTAGGAGAGTACTTTTCTGCCTTCTGCATGTCAGAGTTTTTCCTCCTCCTTAGAAGGAGTTCCATCAGAGGCCTCTAGATTAATCTGAAGAATGGAAATGGTAGGGGGTCTGGGAAGGATTTGCACACTTTCCAAGCATCATGGAAAGAGGGGGAGTAAGCATTCCTAAGGTGTTCAGGTGAATGCTTTCTGGCCCAGAGTGGAACTTGGCCTCATCCTGGGGGTCTCATAGGAAAGGGAGCCAAATTGGGAGTCGCGGACTGAGCAGAAGTGGGGGGAACAGGGGAGGATGACAACCATCTTTCCTGTGGCCTTATTTCTCCCTTAGACTTTTGCCAAGGAGGAACCGAAGGAAGATATTGATGTATCTATTCTGCCCCAGCTGGAGCACTGCAGCTCCAAGAAGATGAATACGTGGCTTGGTGTGTTGATGTGGGGGACAGGCTGAGGGATGGGGCAAGGACAGTGGGTTTGGAGGGAGAAACATCTTTAGAAAAAGAGGAAGAGGTGAACGCAGTTTGGATGTCCTTTGCTGTCATGGAACTGATCTTTTCTGAGAGTAGGGGACAGTTGGTCTTTTGCTGGAGGGAGGATAGAGCCTAAAGAAGGGATAAGGCAAGTTGGGTCCAGCAGAAGCAGAGACCAGTGGGAGTAGCCTCTCTCTCATCTTCAGACCTGACAGGTCTACATCTAGACAGCTCCCTAGAGTAAGACTGGGGGCATGGGTTTAGGTCCCTTCTAGCCTTTATAAAATTGCTCTGATCTGTGATCACAAATGGTATACCTGTCCCCAGTCTGAAAAGCTGTCTTCCCACCTTAAAGGTGAGAAGACACTGTGTGGCCCAGGCCCTTGCCTGCCTAACAGCCGTTATTGACTGTCGTCTTCCTGTGTGACATGGTTCCTAGTCCCAGGAAGAAGTGGTGAGGTGGGGGTGAACTGGGTAGACACTGGGGGCAGTGGACAGGGAGGAGTATGCTAGCTCAGATGGTTTGATTGGGGAGGAGGCTCCATTTTCATTGGAGAACTATGAGAAGGATCCATGGTGGGTGACTATCATAGAGAGGATGGGAGTGAATGGGACCATGGAGGTCATGCTGCCTAGGTGACCCTTTCCTGCTGTTGCAGGCATTTTCTATGGTTACAAGGGGCTGCTGCTGCTACTGGGTATCTTTCTTGCTTATGAGACCAAGAGTGTATCCACTGAGAAGATCAATGACCACCGGGCTGTGGGCATGGCCATCTACAATGTGGCGGTGAGCTGCCTGGACACTTGGCATTGACCCGAGGGTCTGACTACAGCAACCCAGATGGGGTGGCATGAGAAGGATCAGGCACTGGATCTTAGATCAGTTGGATGGAAGTCTTAAAGAGATTTTAAATCCTTCAGATTTGTAAAGTACTTTACAGTTTACAAAACACACACAGACACTACTTTATTAATCCTCACACAACTATCCAGTGAAGTGGATATTAGTGTCCACATGACATAGATGAGAAGGCAGAAAGAAAGAGGTTAAATTACTTGTCTGGGGTTCACAGGCTGGAATCTGAATTGAGAGTTCCTGCCAGATTGACTCTTCAGGACTCTGGGTGTGTGTCCAGACAGCACGGGCACTCCTGCTCTGAGGGATGGGTTGACCTAGAGCTGTGAACTGCTTTCGGACAGTTTATTTGTGATTCTTTTTAAGCTAGAGTTGAGGATGATCCTATTTGGATCCTTTTCTAATGGAAAGTTCAACAGGAGCTTGACCTCATAGACTCTCTCCTGGGGAAAGAAAATCCTGGATCTTGTCTGAGCCTGCAGAGCTGAGACTCCCCAAACACACTGCCCCCAGGTCCTGTGCCTCATCACTGCCCCTGTCACCATGATCCTGTCCAGCCAGCAGGATGCGGCCTTCGCCTTTGCCTCTCTTGCCATCGTCTTCTCCTCTTACATCACTCTGGTTGTGCTCTTTGTGCCGAAGGTAAGCTCCTGGGTGTACTTCTACCTTCCCCGTCCCTTCTTCTCAGGACTCTGCTCCCCTGTCCCCTTCCTCCTGTTTGGGGCTGAGCTTGTTCCTCTTATTTTCATTCCTTCCAGTTCTAACCCACCATCAGTCTATTGCTAACACAGTCCCTGCTTGGCCCTCCCACGCCCCAAACATTCTTCCCCAGATGCGTCGACTGATTACCCGAGGGGAATGGCAGTCGGAGGCTCAGGACACCATGAAGACAGGATCATCGACCAACAACCATGAGGAGGAGAAGTCCCGGCTGTTGGAGAAGGAGAACCGGGAACTTGAAAAGATCATCGCTGAGGTGTGCTGATGCAGGGTGCAAAAGGGGTCCAGGAAGCCCCATCACAAGAGAAACCTGCCTGGGAATGAGTGCAGCAGACTAGGGAAGGGGAGGGATAGGGCAAGGAGCAAGGATTCTGTGCCAGGTAAGATTCAGTGTTGGCCTTGTCAGGAGGTGAGGGCTCTGCTGGGCAGTGGTGAGCCTTCAGCAGCTAATATTGAGCATACCCTCCAGGAAAGGGGATGGGCAGGTGTCCCTGGTGTCCACTGGGCCCCAGGCTGTGCAGTGACAGTGCAGGGCATATTCAAACTGGGTTGACACAAATCTGTATGAGATGTTGGAAGCAGTGTGCACTAACCTTTGCCCCCTTCCTCATTTTTTCTTTCCCTTTATTTCCCTGATCTTTTCCTTCAGCGGTACTCCCATTAATGCTCTTTTGGCTTTTCTTGTTCTTTCTGGATTTCTCATTTCATTTCTTTTGTCCACCTACTTCTATGTCCCCACCTCCATTTTTTTCTGTTGTCCCCTTTTCTCTCCCCCACCCTTCATGACTTCCCCTTCTCCCCATCTCCTAATTATTTTTTTTTCTTCCAGAAAGAGGAGCGAGTCTCTGAACTGCGCCATCAGCTCCAGTCTCGGCAGCAGCTCCGCTCTCGGCGCCCACCTCTGACACCCCCAGAAGGGCCTGGGGTCCTACCCAGGGGCCCCCCTGAGCTCCCTGACCGGCTTAGCTGTGATGGGAGTCGAGTCCATTTGCTTTACAAGTGAGGGGGCTGTGGGGAAGATAGGCCAGTAGGGGGAGGGATAGGGAGAAGCAGGGCTCCCTATCCCCAGATGGAAGAACATACTGCCCCATTCCACTTCTTGTAAATACAGCCCCTCTGTGACTCCTGAGGTTCTCTGGGTCTCCATTGCTCTGAGAACCAGACCCTTTTCTCTCTTATTCCTCCATATGATTTTATGTCACTACTTAGTAATCTAGTTGGTACCTCCTTGAAGCTTTTCACTCACTGGCTCTTTAGCAGTCTCATACACACACCTCTCCCTTCTGTACACTACCTCCCAAGATTGCTTCCTTGAGTTTTATGTTTTTCTGGGGCAATTAAAGGAGAGAAAATATGGGGAGATTTGGGAGCTGCTTCCAGTGGATAGTTGGTGAAAATTTTGAGCAAAGGAAGGCACCCCTGACTGTTGACATGGATATATGGGACTATGGAGCAGCAGATGGTAACCCTTTCACACTGTGGTATCTTTTGGGAAAGGATCTCAATAAACCAGTGAACAGTATGACTTAGCACCTGTCCCTTATTGGGAACAGAGTGGGCTTCAGTCCAACCACAGACACTTGGAGGGCTTCATGGCACTGGAAAGGCATGAAAGGGGAGGTGTATAAAGAGGTGTTTTATTGATCCTGTGAGGACTTAGCAGGACAAAGCAGGACATGCTCAGGGCTGCCATTACTGAGTGATGGCATTAGTGGTTAAAAATGTGGAGTTAGACTACCAGAGTGTTAGGTTCTACAACATGCAAAAACTTCTGTATTCTGTATTCTCTAAGTTCTTATTTGTGAAGACAATAATTATCTTCCAGCACCACCACCACCATGCAGATTCTGGGTAAATGCTAGCCACTGTCATTGCTATTTAATGAGTTCTCTCACAGTGATTGACACGTATTGGGAGCCCAGAGCATGTAGCTGAACAGATGTGAGGACTCTCCTTGTTAGGAACTAAGAACAACAAAATGATGATTGCTAGGAGGTAGTGGATGAGCTGGCCCCTGAGTGTTTCCAAACTTAGAAGTCTTTGTCTAAGAACTCGTGGCATCTTGGAAGGATTTGCTATCCAAATAAAAAGAAAGTATTGAATGGCTATTGGAAAAAAATAAACAAATTTGCCTGGAACTTTTATAATCCTTTGTGTTCTCTTAGAGAAGTGCTTTTGCTTTATTTCTTTATCTTTTTTGAGAATTTTTATAAAGTTTATTTGAGCCAAAATGACAACATATGCCAGGGAGCAAGATCTCAAATGCTCCCTGAGACGGGTTTTCCTGAAGCTCAAACTTTCCCTTTCACACTGATTCTTTTAAGTGATTTTTGTAAAAGAGTTCAAGGGTTGAGTGGGCTATATCATTTCATTGTCCTGTTTCAGAGTCAGTTTCTGTAGTTCCATGAAAGCAATGGTCATTACCTCTTAGACCAGGTCTTCCATTCTGATAATCTGCCTTGGACCATTTGGACTTAATGTGAGGTTCCCCTCTTCCAGCCATGGAACATTCTCAAGCAAAGGGGAAGGAAGCCAATGGAGTAGATGAGCCTTTAGCATAGACAATGAGCAGCCAGCTGCCTTCAGAAGCAGCAGAAGCTGTATATACCAGCCCTGGGTAGGACCTAAAAGATCAGAATTACCACTTTGAACTTTCTTTGCACTTAGGCATAGTGTGTATTACAAAGGATGGAGGTTCTGTTGTGGCCAAGGGCAAATTGGACACTTTGTTGGCAGCAGTGTGAGACCATGCCACATGGCAGGGTTAGTGGAAGCTCCTGGTGGGTGGGGATCTCTGCTCGGTGGTGAGACTGCCACTCAGCAGGCTTGGGGGGAGTGACTCCCTTGGCGTCACCATCCCTACCTGTGTCACCCTCAGTCTTCAGATCTCTTTCTGACTTTAGAGTGCCCTGGACTTGAGACTGCCTGCCAGCGTTTCATGGCCCTGCTCTACCCTGACAGACTTGTCTCCCTACCCTAGTCACTGGCATTTTGTGAGCACATTGATGCTCTGTTAGTTTTATCTTTTCATTTCAGGCAACATGTTTTGATTGGTAAAGTTGCTGAGAGCAGTGAGCAGAATGGCCTTTCATGAAGGTACATTTTCAAGGCGGAAGGTGAAGCCAATAAGCAGGTAAAATAGATAAAGAAGATAGCTGGAGCAACCAGGACCTTTGGGCATCTTGTAATCATCAGCTCTGGTGCCCAGAACAACCCTGTAGGGAAGGTGTGTGTTCTTACCTGTTGTCTGGCGAGGAAACTGGCTCAGGGAGAGGAGGACTCTTGTCCAGGGTCACACAACTAATGAGGATTACAGCTGGCATTCATGGTGCATGTATTGTTACCTATTGTCTGTTACCCAAAACAAGCATTATCACAGTTTCTGTGGGGCAGGAACTCAGGTGGGACAGCAGGAAGATACCTGGAAGATTTGAAGGCTGGGAGCTGGAGTCATCTGAAGGGTGTACAGGTAGCTATCGGCCATCAGCTGAGGCTCCTCCAGTGGCCTCTCACTGTGGCCTGGGTTTCCTCATGACATGATGACTAGGTTTCAAAAGTGAGTGTCTGGAGAGAGAGAAAGATGAAAGGAGAGATCCAGCCAGGTTGTAGCCATCTCTTTTCTCTGACATAGCCTTGGAAGTCACATAGCATCACTTATGTGGAACCCCATGGTCTGGGCTGTCACAAGGCTGCATCTAGATTTGGGGGAAGGAAATACAGACCCCCAACCTCTTGATGAGATAAGCATCAATCACATTGTAAAAAGAGCACTGGGGATAGGTCATGGGGTCAGCTTTCTTTGGAAAAAATGATCTACCACGTGTGGTCTGCCTGCTCTGGAGCAAGTGTTCACTTTCCTTGGCCACACTGCTTGTCTGATGGCCAGTCTTGTCTCTTCACTGATTTTAAGCCTCTCTGGACACTTCAGGGCCAGCTGTTCTCCCACACCTAGCCCTTTCTGCAGCTGTGGCTCTTCCCATAGTCCTGTGTAGTTTCAGACCATCCTGGATGGACACCTTGTTCATTCACTCAGGGTTTTGAAGCAGGGAGTTCTGTTACTTTGCACTTCATGGTGTATTAACTGAAGGGGAATCAGGATGAGCTTCATGTCAGGTGATGCCCCAAACAAGTGATATTTGACATACTTGGCAAGTATGGCATCTACTTACCTGACTCACTGAAGCAAGAAAGGAAATTGCTAGACTGTTGAGGAAACATCCAAACCTATAGAGAATTTTTATGAGTTTATTTTAGCCTAAGTGTTGAAAATTGCTAGGAAGCAAAATCTCAATGGATTGAGGAAATGCTCCAGAGAATGGGAGTTTTACACATTATTTTATACATTGGAATCAAAGGAGTAGACAGGGTTACATGAAATCCATTGGTGACAAGGGAGGCGGGAGAAAGCAAAGCAGGACAATTGTGATTGGATAAAGAGTAAAATGCAGACATTTCTTTTTACATTGGTGGGCACAGGATAGTTAATGATATTTTCAGCACATAGAGTTGGTATGTGGGGAATAAGATAATGATGAGGGGTTTCATGGTTTCTGCTTAGGTATGGTGGGTGTGCCTTGAGGGATCTGGAAAAAGGGAAAAAGAAGATTACTCTGAAATTCCAAAGGTAGTTTTTAGGTAACCCCTTTTTCAGCCACAAAACTCTCATGGAAGATGAACCCCCAGCACCACTGGCCCACATGATGAAACACTGAGGCCTATGTGAGCCAGGCACTCTGCCAGGGCCTGATACAGTCAAATTAAGGAAACAGACAAATGCTGAAGTCACACTCCAGTGGCATGTAGAATGCCTTCTCTAGGTGTGTGTAGAGGGGAGGGGAGAAAAAAAATAACCTTTTCCCTTTACCCATGTTGGGTTGTCCAGCTGTAGCCCTCTAAACTAGACTGGCAAAAGACAGATTAGCAACAGAGAAACAAGAGAAGTTTATTAACAGGTGTGCCACACATATACACATGGCAGCACCCAGTGATGAGTAATCAATCCAAAGGAGTGGTTAGAATTGGGGCTTCTGTACCATTTTAGGCTAAACAAAGAAAAAGGGTTTGGGTTTCTGGGTGGTGGAGGCAAGTAATGTGAAGGTGATCAGGAAAAGTGAACAAAGGTCCTTTAGTAAGGACTGAAATAGATTTAAGTCAATGCCTTCTTTCTGCTATAGGACATGCAGGCACCTTTACAAATGTAAATTTCCTTTACTAAAGAAAAGCTTGTGCCTTGTTTTTAGAGCTTTTCCTGAATATGCAGGTTCTCAATAACCTTTAGCTCCACATGCCAAAGAAGCCTGTTTTGGGGTGGTATATTCTGGTACTCTAGGGCTGAGTGATTAATTCTGCAGGGGGGAAACCAGGAAGGCTGGCTTCACTGGGGGTAGGAGGGATTCAATAGGGTTTGGGCTAGTCATGATTCAGTGAGCCCTCCAGAAGGAACTGGTGATTGTAACTTGAATAGGCAACTCAAACAGAGGTTCTAGAATAACATCCCTTAAAGCTCCCAGCTCAAGTGTTGTATTAGGTGGATACGTAAGTGCCCTCCCTCATAAGATCTAAATCATGTAGTCTTTTTTTTTTCTTTTAAATCCTGGAAGTTATTATTCTCTTAAATTTTATCATTTAATTTTATTTTTTCCATTAGTTTATATTCAATATTAATTTGTATTGGTTACAGGTGTACAGCATAGTGATTAGAGAATCATATACTTTATACTTTACAAAGTGTTCCTTCTGGTGTTTCTACTACCCACCTGGCACCATACATAGTCGTTACAGTATTATTGACTATATTTTCTATGCTGTACTCTACACCCCCATGATCTAAATCTTGTAGTCTTAAAGCATCTGTAAAGGATCCCCTTTTCCCATTGTATTCCATTTAGTATTTTCTATATACTTCTTTCTTTATGTATGTTTTATTGATTATGCTATTATAATTGTCCCATTTTTTTCTCCCTTTTATCCTCCTCCACCCTTCACCCCTCTTCCTTCCAGTATTCTTCCTTCTTAGTTCATGTCCATGGGTTGTACATATAAGTTCTTTGGCTTCTCCATTTCCTATACTATCCTTAACCTCCCCCTGTCAATTTTGTGCCTACCAATTATGCTTCTTAATCTTTGTATTCCCCCCCAAATCTTCCCTCTCCCCCTCCCTGCTGATAACCCTCCATGTGATCTCCATTTCTGTGATTCTGTTCCTGTTTTAGTTATTAGCTCAATTTGTTTTTGTTTTTGTATTTTTAGGCCCAGTTGTTGATAGCTGTGAATTTGTTGTCATTTTACTGTTTATAGTTTTGATCTTCTTCATTTTCTTAGATAAGTCCCTTTAACATTTCATACAATAAGGGCTTGGTGATGATGAACTCCTTTAACTTGACTTTATCTGGGAAGCACTTTTTCTGCCGTCCCATTGTAAGTGATATCTTTGCTGGATGGAGTGATTTAGGTGGTAGGTCCTTGCTTTTCATGACTTTGAATACTTCTTTCCAGCCCCTTCTTGCCTGCAAGGTTTCTTTTGAGAAATCAGCTGATAGTCTGATGGAAACTCCTTTGTAGGTAACTGTCTGCTTTCCTCTTGCTGCTTTTAAGATTCTCTCCTTATCTTTAATCTTGGGTAATGTACTGATGATGTGTCTTAGTGTGTGCTCTCTTGGATCTGACTTCTTTGAGACTCTCTGGGCTTCCTGGACTGCTGGAAGTCTATTTCCTTTGCTAGATTAGGGAAGTTCTCCTTCATTATTTGTCCAAATAAGTTTTCAGTTTCTTGCTGTTCCTCTTCTGGTGCTCCTATGATTCAGATGTTGGAATGTTTAAAGTTGTCCTTGAGGTTCCTAAGCCATTCCTTAGTTTTTTGAATTCTTGTTTCTTCATTCCATTCTGGTTGAATGCTTATTTCTTCCTTCTGTTCCAAATTGTTGATCTGAGTTCTGGTTTCCTTACCGTTTCTGTTGGTTCCCTGTATATTTTTCTTCATTTCACTTTGTATAGCCTTCATTTCTTCCTTTGTTTTGCTACTGTACTCAATCATTTCTGTTAGCCAGTGTTTTGAACTCTCCAACTGATTGGTTGGCTATCTCTTCATTGCTTAGTTCTTTTTCTGGAGCTTTGACCTGTTATTTCATTTGGGCCATAT